GGTAAAAACTGACTGAAGCTTTAAAAAAACACCTGTGTTTTCTCCTGGACATCACTTTATTATGACGTGAAGCAGTTGGAAGATCAACAGAAGCTTCATGTCTGTGCACAAACTGAATTAATAAGAGCAGCAGCAGGATTGTTTTGTTTTTGCACAATTCCAAATTTTTGTATAGAGAAGAAACAACATGTAGCCTGTACAAACTGTAATGTATAAAATAAATGAAGAATTTACAAAATGATCAGTAAAGATACCAAACAACAACCCATAATCCTCCTGGTTAAAGTCGTAACTCTTTTAAACATTGCAGAGAAACACAGAAGGGACAGAGGCAAAAGGCAGAGCTACAAGAACAAGAAAACAGGAAACTGCAAAAACACATCGAGCTTCAACCACATTGGGTCATATCCTCCCCATCTTACCATTTGCTTTTCAAACATCTAATATTTTTTGGTGGTTTTGTAACACTTAAAGCTAACATTGGATCTATTCTGCTCCAGATTTGTTTGAAAAATATGAGGTTTAGTTATTGTACACGTGAAAACTAAAACAGATGCAGGGAGTAGCTGTTTTCAGCCTGAAAATCCTGCTGCGTGGCTTTAGCAAAGTCTAAGTGAAAATAGTTGCTGAAACAAAACGTAAAAGCTAAGTGTGGAGCAGCTTTGCTGAAATTATCTGAAACTGAGTTGCTACAGCTACAAAATAAAAAGTAGAACACTAGCTAAAAGCTGAACAAACATGAGCCCTAACTTAAACTAAAAAGAGCATAACAGAAGCCAAAAGCAAAAATGCAAAGATTATTGAACCCATCTCCTGAATGGGCTGAACATTTTGATTTGAATAAAACAGCACAAAGTACGCAGAAATGAACTAAAGCAAAACATACAGAAAAATACAAAAAACAGGAAAACTGTATCATTGCTGAATAAACATTTACACAATTAATTATTATTAAGATGTGCAAGTTTGAATTACAACTTGCTCTTGGTTTAAAATGTGCAGCAGTATCTTTTCATAAAGTCAGTCCACAGTGAACTCCTGTTTCATACACAAACAGGAAGAGCTTCAGTAATGCTACACCTGTTTGTCTTTTCCTGTCTGTCTTCAAATCAAAAGACAAAAAAAAAAGAAATGCAAACCAAACCGATAAACATTGCTTGTACAAGACTGCGTCTGATATTCAAGTAAATACACTTACCAGTTCAAACACATCCACACATAGAAGATCATATAATGTAGACTAAGCTGTGCAAATGGATAAGTTAGAATGGATTTCTCCAGTTTTTTAAATCAAACTCTCAAAAGCAGGACTGTTTTTGAGGACAGAGAGGATGCGTCTGGAATGGAACCCAGCCTTCGTCATTCGGTGACTCAAGATTTTAATTATACTAGTTTTGTCTGATTCACCACAGTAATGTTAGCTGCTGTTTGACCAAATGAAATGTCAACAAAAGCTCTGATTGCAGCGGTGTCATTTTACCACGAAATGTAAAATCTCAATTCCTCAGCGTAAAAGATGGGAAAACTAACCACGATGAGGAGATGCAAAACGGGAAATGGCACATAGTCTGTGTTTCTATTTGCAGAACGCACAGCAGAGTGGGCAGTGTCATCACACACCCCGACACCACAGAGAGGCCATATGGTGCCGGAGTCAGACACATGCACCCTTTAATGACAGATGAGAGGAGGGTAGCATATGGGGAGGGTGGACATGAGGCTTATGACGTCGTTGCACTAAATTGGGGATAGAAAGAGAAAAAAAAGGAAAAAATCTCTAAGTGTGTTCAGAATGTTTCTCTTTGCTTGAGTGTTTTGAGCTTTTCCATGAATATCAGACAGGGTTGCAACGCATCCTGGTTTGGAAGTAAGGCAATGTGAGTATGATGACAAGCAAAGATCTGCACAATAAGAAACAATTGGTATGTCTCGAATGATTCTCAGATTACTACACCAAATTCTAGATCAATATTATAAAACTGACTGAGCAATTATAGACATTTTAGTGGTTTTCTATGGCAGTGGTTCCCAAACTTTTTATCTTCTGACCCACAAAATATGCATTGCAAAAACTTGTGACCCCAAACATTACTGGTCTGAGTACACAAACTTCGTTAATAACCCTAAAAACACAGGCTTTTTGACTATCTAAACAGCTTGTACACAAATATAAATACTTATTT